AAGCAGTCGAGTCTGAGCTAAGAGATAGAAAGGCAAAATGTAAGCGTGAATTACCAGAATTTGAGACCGATAATAGCAATACATCAGATGAGATGGAATCTCGAAGCATTGCTTCCTCAAATTGTTCTGATATTTTACCTGATGTTATTGCAGTAAAAAAGATACATGAGTCTAAAGACCTCGGTTCTATCCGTTCTAAACCAAAAAAGAAGCGAAATAAGAACAAGGTATATAATTGTACAAAGGTACGTAAAGAATTTTTATAGCTTTAACACATAAATTAATCGTATAATAAACCACGATCACGATATTCTGATTTTTATAACCCTTTAGGGTTGCCCCTTCGGTCTTGCATGTGTTTGGACGTACTTTACAGGTTAGATTCACATGTTTTTTGTGTGACTCAATTTCTCACATATACTCTCATTCATCGTTTTTTATTAATTTTCATGTTTTTCGCCGATCATGAAACTCACTAAGAATGAACTAATTTACCTATCTTTGCACCATTTCGGACGTAATGCCAATTCGAGTTGGGGTATATTTTCTCGGACGACATATGAGCGGGTATATAAGTATATGAAAGGTGAGCAACGAAAATTTATTTGGTTCTGTGTATTGCACTATTTCCTTGAAATGACTCTTCGAGTCTAGCTCTGCTATTATGTCGAAAACGGAAAAAATCCCAACTGCTAATCTTAAAAATCTCGCATATACTATCCTAAAAAACTTAAACGACAGTGTGATAAAAAATAAGAAATTCACCTCGGTGCCTAACTGTGAAGTATGTAATAAGGAGATTTTTTCAAGTCTCAATAAAGCATTCACAGTCTTAGGATGTGGACATATATACCATAGAATCTGCATTGAGAAGAAACTTCTGCTTACAAAACCAAATGGGTGTCCTGACTGTGGAAAAAATGTCGAGACTATTACCGAAACCACCACAACTGAAATGGATCTTAGACGGGATTCAGAATCCAGCACCTCGTCAGTAGTTGGAAAGATGGAAAAGCAACTTAATATCCAATCTCAGGAAATCGTCGATGAAGAAATGACAGATGCGGATAATGGGGGAAAAATAGATAATAATTCGAAGGGTAAGGCCACTGATATGGGTGAGGAGTCCAATAAAAGACCTATCGAAGTTGACTCTGAAGAGCTGAATACCACGCAAGATAAATCCCTCAGTAAGAAAGCGAAGAAGGAAGTTAAAAACGAGGATTCCCAAATGCTGAAACGACTTATCAAGGAGTTAAGTAGTAATACTAGTCCGCAGGTATCTGAAATTGGTGTAGAAGAGGGTGAGAATTCTGAAAATTTGCTTCACTTATACAATAAAATTATTAATGCCGAGATTCGTAAAGAGAT